CAAAAAGAGACTATTTCAGATTTTCAAATTTTTTCAGTCGTACGTGTGACACATACATACAAAACGTTTTGTTTATTAAGCTGCCTTTCATAATGCCTTCATTCAAATGATATTACATTAAAATTAGCAATATAAGTGAACATTAATGCACATGCATATGTAATAATTATCGATGTACATGAGACAAACAGAGACAGAGTGAGAGTGAGTGAGTGACTGAGTGAGAGAAAGAGAGAGAGAGAGAGAGAGAGAGAGAGAGAGAGAGAGAGACGATGGATGGAGACGACACGACACAACGACGACGATGCTAGACGACACAACGCAATGTAATAACATTTTGAAAAAGAATTGTATTGTAGTTACTAACACATACACACACTTGGTTTGAATAAGAAGACTCTTGAATAGGGACAGATACTTATTACTTAAGCTTCATTTTTGAAAATACCACTTAGATCTTATTTATACATACATATCGCTTGAGTTAAGTAAGATAATAATCTTTATAGAATTATAACTTGGCGCCAATTATTAATATCAAACCTTCTATACGACTGGTACGTGTTACTTGGATTGAGAATTTGTATATTATTTGGACTGACAATGAGTAAAGTATATAATTTTTATAAGATTATAACTTAGCGCTTGTTATTGGTATCATATCTTTTATACAACTGGTATATGTTACTTGTACATATTATTTAACTTAAATACCTATACACTAACGAAATTTTGTGACATTCCAAAGATTTCATCATAAATATAAATTAATAACGACAATATCACTTGGATCTTATTTCTTTATTTAGTACAATTTTTTTCGAGGAACACGTATTCTTAGCACCTTTCGTTACGTTTTTTTTTTAATTTTTACTGATATCACACATTTTGCAGATTTACAATATCACTTGGATTTTATAGACATGTTACATCACTTAAACTTTATTTTTTTAATAAAAGCCACTACCATTATGTTTTATTTTTTAATTTAATATTCAAGCTTCGCTGTCTGAAGATACATATAACTTAAGTTTTACTCCTTTAAATAAAAATACTACTACATACATTTTATTTTTTTATTTGATACGACAGTTTTTTATAGGGATGCACCGGATCGTAAAATTACTGGATACCGGATATCGAATATCCAAACAGAATATAACATCGAATATCCGGTATCTGGTCGGATATCCGAGAAGGCAATTTCTTCGAGTCGGATATCCGATATTTTCCGACCGGATTTCGGGAAATTGTCTTCTAAAAAAAAGGGCCGTAAAGAAAAAAAATTGTAATTTTGCAATAATGTATAAGATATTAATATGGCATTATGAATATGCATACTTATTTCTAAAACATTTTTATAATAAATCAACAATTTAATGATATAAAATTTAAACCGGATATATTCCCGGATACTAATAATATCCGGCTATCCGGTCGGATAGTAAAAAATGCCGGATAATACCGGATACCGGATACTTTTCGGATATCCGGTGCATCCCTAGTTTTTATTTGTAAAAATTAACTCAGGATATAAAAGACCTATCGTATGCAATAAAAGGATGTCAGAAATCATAGTGTATTAAGAGTTAATAATATTAATGCTACTAAGCATCAATTTCATTATATAAATGATGATATAAATAATTTTTGACATTCTTATTACACACGATTTTTCTTAGAAGGATATTAACAATTTAATGTAAATAAACCTCTTAAGACTGTAAATAATTTATTATGAAAAATATTACTTCAGCCAGAATTTGAATACCCGGATCTCTCGAAATTCGTGGGAGCGATTAATTTAAAATAGTAACATAAAGAAAATATCTTTTATTCCTTTACAATCACTATTAACTAATATACCAAAATTTTAAAATAATATTATAAAATATATATGTATATTATATATGTATTTCAATGAATTTCAATGTATTCGAACTCATTTTCTGAAAAATTTTGTTTTTGAGTTGTATCATCGTTGTAGTTTGTAATGAGCGATATACTATTAAATCTATGAATATATTGTTTTATAAAGAAAGGCTCAAAGAATCGTAGCAGATCTTGCATGGAGAATCGATGATTAATTAATTCAGTTTAGATCGAAATTATTATTCACGAGTCAGTCCCCGCGCTGATTGACGGCTTTGTAACGACAGTGGGACTTCAATCTTCGATCAATTAAGAATATTCATGAGCTGTTATAGTCCTGGATCACGCTGAGAGTACGAATTGGACGGATTCAATCGAATGACGGTAGAAAGTTCAGAGGACTGCACACAGTCGATGCTTCTGAAAGATATGATTTTCACTTCGAATCCAGGCTTCAAATATCGTCGTTCTCGCGATTAATTCAACTCATCGTCCTGTCGTTTTCTTCCTCGTCTTATTCGTTGCAATGGCGTAACTGAGACTTAGGCTTCGTATACTACCTACCTGACAAAATCGATTTCAAAGAATTTTATTTCATTGCTTTTCATGACAATATCCGATTACGTTCATAGGCGGGAGAAAATGAAGCTTAACACAAAACGCTATTCATAGTCTTTTTTATCTTCTTTTCTTTTATTTCATCTATTTTCTTCTCTTATTTGTTCTTTTTTCTTTTATTTTTCTTTCTTTCCGATTTGTTTCTATTATTCTTCTTTCTTCCTTCTCATTTTGAGACCTCAGGAGATTATGACATCTCTCTCGTACCATGAGACCTTCGAAGCTGTTGATTACGCCACTGATTCGTCATATTCCACGCCATGCAAAATTCTGTCGCGCGGGCTGATTTCAATAAGGCACCATCACAGAAATCCTTGTAAAGCTCCATTCACACTATCCGAGTTCTCACGAGTTAATATCTTTATAAAACGAAAAGTGCAAATAATGAAACCAATGAAACGGAGATCGTGTAACTAAGCGCTTTACGCATTTGATAATGAATAAATTCTTGATGACCTTAACCTTGACATATGTTGTCAAGGTCGTGACCCTGAGTCACCTCCAATGAATTTTAACGTTGCTCATTATTCATTATGAACAAAGTTATTAACAACAAAAGTTTTAAAAATCCACATTTTTTTTCTGCTATATAAAACAAAAATGTTCTGCTTTAAAATATAATTTACGACCTTCACGAAACGAATCACCCCACCTTCCCCCCCTGCTTGGGAGCACGCGACTTCCACTCAAAGAGACTTTCACCCCACCTGCCTCCCTGCTGAGGAGCGCACAACTTCCACGCGAAGCGACTCTGACTGAACTTCCGAAAACAGCCAACACCCGATTATCATGAATTTTGGCAGAAGTACTCCAAATAACGTCAATCGAATGCTCTTAAATTTTCACAGACAAGAAGGTTTAATGCCAAAAATGCCCTCCACGCAAAACGATTCTCACCCAACCTCCCCCCCTGCTTTAGGGACGCACAACTTCTACGCGAAGCGACTTTCATCCAACCTCCCCCCCTGCTTTAGGATCGCATATTTCCACTCGAAGCGATTCTCACCCCATTTTCCTCCTTGCTTTAGAGGCGCACAACTTCCACGCGAAGCGCCCCCAAGCAGGAGGAGGAAGTGAGAGTCGGTTCGCGTGGAAAGTTGTAAAATATATTTTAAAGCAGAAAAACTTTTGCACTAAAAATTTATTTTTACGTAAAAATGAAAATAAGAGGTACAACCTCCAATGGCTTTGAGTTTGACAAACGTTATTTAGGACATAATTCTGAACAACATTCAAGAGCCGTCAGTCGGACAATTTGCGTAATGCTAATGCTATTAATTGTAACTTTCGAGCCTTATGTATGACTCGAAAAATACTTAATTATTTTATTTTAAAAATATTTTATTATAGTGTTTTGAAAAGCTCTCAAGATAAGCTACAAGAAAATGTAATGAAAAATAGGAGGTCCCATTTAAAAAAATCGACGTGATCTTGACCTGGCGACGCCATCCAAGGTCAAATCAATGGTACCTTCTTATGCCCACATACAACTTTTGTTTGAAACATTTTTCCGTATCTATCATAATTTTCGAGAAATCTTAATGCATTATTTAAAATGGAATACCTTGTAGACTATTGACATTATTCAACTCAATTCTGATATGTTATTTTATCTTAAATGTAGGTACAATATAAATGCCAGCGATAAGTACGATTTCTTCTTCTTCAAATGCCATACGCTATCTCAGCGCATAGGTGCCTCCTTCTCATATACCCGTGCGCGCACACTGATCGTACACGACGTATATGGGGGGGATACAGTTTAAACGCCGATTCCGAATGGTAATTTTGATAGGGAGGTTTCCTGGGCAAGTATACTACTCATTGTCAGTGGTTTACCATTGCCTTCCGAAAGGAGCTACGAGTGTACGAAAATTTTTCTGTTCTGCCGAGGATCGAATCCGGGATCTCTTAATATAGCATACCAGTGCGCTGTCTGCTTATATACCACACTCACACTCAAAGTACGATTTACACAACATTTTTTATTTTTACAAATTTACCAACAACAACTTACATATATTTTGCTAATTTAATGCTATGAAATACTTGAAAACAGTTCAATATCAATTGATATTAAAAAACCCTGTAATTCATTATAATTCAATTGCTCATTTTGTACTGCTGATAACACCTTTTAGGTAAATTGTATGAAAACTTAGATCAAACACCAAACAAAATAAATTTTGAACTCGTAAACGGACAGCTCGAAGACAAAATAAAAATGACAGTACTAGCCATGTTAGACAATAGCGTCACATCTGAGTTATTATCTTTAAGAAAAAAATATTTCGTTTAGAAAATACAATGGAGGTATGATTTAACTGTTAGTACGGCTTAGCCAATTCCACACACTAATGTTATAGAATTGAATATACATATTACTGAATATAATAGAATGTATACATCGCCTTTTACTTCAAAAATGATAATTAAGAAACGTGATTTATAAGTTATAAATAAGTTAAATATTACTTTATCAATCATAAAATATAAACTAACTTAATTTCGTAAAATATCGTCAAAATCGTCACAACTCAAAAAGCATAGTTATTAAAATATGTGAAACAAAAATGAATCTCAAGTTAAGACATTTAATGATATTATTCTTTCCTTGTCGATATTATTTAAGTAGTCAATAATTTTTTGTCAAGTTGACGAATAATTTTTTACTAACAAATAGTTTCTACTCTTTTTAAAAAACTTAATCTTTTTGATTATGTGACTTTCAATGTGAGGGAGCGACATACATAAATGCAATTAAAAAGAACATTTACATATTGTCTTTTATAATAATTATCATTTAGATATATTAAACGAGCGTATAATTCACTCATTGATATCAATAGCCTTCTAAATTAACATACTTGAAATTACTTTTAACACAAGTTATTTGTTGTATTTAGAAGTAAGTTTTAACTTCAGAACATAGTTCAAAAATCCATTCTTTTTCACGCAGCCGGAATTGCGGCCTTCATATAAAAGCATTAAGTTTTCTTTTCGCTCGTGCGAAAAAAAATACAATGAGAAGGTTAATAATGCTTTGTTCTTAAACAATTATAAGTTGCATCACGAAGAAAGTTAATTTCTTTCCGAAGCAAAAGTAAACCTCAGTAACAACAACAATACAACTTTGCTAACAATCCTAATTGCCGTTCAGCGCTTGATTAAGCAATTAATCCAATTTCGACGTTTTCTATTTCTCGTAGCGAATAATGTAACATATTTCGTGCCGCGCTCACGTCATTATTACATATTACGCGACTATATCGTACAACTGCCACGGCACTTGTATTAAATATAAACGGTTTGCGGCGAAGTCTGCATTACAGAGAGATATCCACGGTCCTTGAATTATTCCGGCGTGTCATTCAATGCAAGCCATTCAAATCGGTTATTTATTCCGACATGAAGGTTCACTTATTCAACTTCACAATTTGATTCGCAGATTTTTCACTGCAGCATTGGCACGCTCTCTCTCTCTCTCTCCCCCTCTCCCTCTCTCTCTCCCACTCCTCCTTCCCTCCACCTCTTCTCTATCTTTCTCCTCGTTTCCCCTCTTTTTTCGCCCTCGTTGATTTCCTTCTCTTTTTCTCCAAACCATTTTATTACTGCTCATGCCAATCTTGTAAGTTCAAAGTGCCAATTACGCGAGCGGTACTCACCGAGAATTTTTTCTTACATCTTCATGAGAAGGAGTCTCGGGCGTAGTTACAGCTTCTTTTACATCCGCAAGTGGCGTACCGAAAATCGATCGAAGCCAAAGAGTTATGAAGAAACTATACTAATATGAGGAGATTGTAAAAAACCAATAGAATAACGAGAGCTGGCGAACACGCAAATTGATGTCAGTAAATTTCTGTCAGGAAATATGTTAATTGCAAACTTTATTACTTATTGCGCTTTCAACATCCAAATTATATTTCTTCATAACAGATTTTGTCATATTAAAAGGCTTAAATATTGAAAATAACATTTTATCAAGCAAAAATATACATAATTAAAGCATTAGTTGATGCATTAAGAGAGAAGCACCTTTAACGATTAAACCGCAGGAAGTTACAACACAAAATTTTCAATACTGTAATTTTTCCAACGATAAAAGGTCTGGTTATAAAAAGACCTACAACTCAAACCGAGTAGGAGAGTACTTGGAGGCTTCTTTGTCGCAAACATCTCACATTAAAGGCGCCGAGTGCACAGGCTAAAAGGGACAAGCATGCTTGGTGAGCTTGTAATTTCCAAGTACTTTGAGATTATTCGAGTTACTTTTTTTAATCCTGCTAGATTTCTAACGAAAAAAAGAAGGACAAGCAAGGCAACAAAGAGATTTCACGTTCTAACTTAAAAAAGGTTTTGGAATTATTTTCGCATTTATTGCCTTCGTAATTTTATCAGGATTGAGAAAGGTACCCTTATCGTTACCATTCTTTTTTCTAAAAACTAACTCGTTATCATTACTTGTTACTGACTTTAAAAAAGAACTTTTTATCATTACTGTTGAGACATTAAATTTCCATTACTTTTTCATTGATTTTTTATGACTTCTCTTTTAGAACGGCAATCAATACTGTCTTGGTCACTAATTTATTAATTCAACATGCACTCCAGTTTTATAAGCACACAATATTTTCACACAATGTTATATAAATATTATTTACTCCTTTTAATATTTACGTATAACACACATTCTAAGCATTCATATTGTGTCCTATTGAAATAGTGTTATGATGATTGAGATTAATCGCAACATGGCCAAACTTTTTCTTTTTAATAACTTCTTAATAATAACTTCTTTTTTTGAAACTCGTATGCATGTTTCATCCACATGTATTGTATGTATACAAAGTAACGATAAATAAATGACGATTATATTGTTATCCAAAAGAAGTATAATAATTTCGTAACCATTACAAGTAAGGAAAACAATAGAAATAAAGTTACAAATAATCGTAATAGCACAGTACATTGGCTGTACATTGGTTAAAATTAGCTGAACATTGGTTATATTGGAGATATATTAGCCAATATTTCCCAATGTAATGCCCAATATTAGGCGTCTACCTTACAATATTGTAATATACCTCACAATATACCGGGAATTCAATTCTTACCCAATGTTTAATATTGGGTGTACATTAACTGCGTTCAGTAGAGAAAACAACTTTGCAACTGTTGTAAAATTCTTCAATATGATTGGTTTATACATTTAAATCACATACAATTAAATAAGGAGCCAAAAGCAAGAACCAATCGTATTGAAGAATTCTACAACATTTGCAAAGCTGCTTTCTCTGCTGACGCAGCCATTGTTTCCCAATATTACGTCAATATTTTATGCTACTAGGAAAGGAAATGTAACATTATTACATATTCGTTACCAAAAAAAGTAATCAGAATGATAACGATGTTACAAGTAACGCGTTACTTCTCAACTCTGATTTTTATGATGCGCTGTTCAATGTTAATTGAAAGATAAACTGTTACCACAAGATCTAGCATTTATTTTTTAATTCCCTTTGACAATTCTGGTGATGTCGATTTGTTCAAACATTTATACACACAAGTGCAGAATGTAAAGACGTAGAAACAGAGCGATGAAGTTAATTTTCCGTTATTTACCCTTCTGCAACGCACTATTTCTCCAATTTCCCATAGTTCGAAAGATTTTGTTAAAGTTTGTGATACTATAAAGGAATCGAATGAAAAGAGAGATACAATCTGAAAAGCGAATCCGCAGAAACTAATCGAAAGGAATCGAATTGGAGCACTAAAGCTAACAGACCATATATGAATGAAAACGAGATTTCTTCATCTAGAAAAATTAGGAAAGCATAAAGATCGCGAAACGTAAAGCAATTTTAAAAAATAACGCATGAAGTGTCCAAAAACTGCTAAATATTCATTAAATAATGTTATTTCTATTTATTTGGATAGAATTATTAGGAGATAAAATGAATTTTTCTTAGAAATGAAAATTACCCAATCTGATAGTGACTTATTCGGTAAATTAATAAATTAAAGACTTTTATTTTCTATTGGTTATGTATATTTACATGTACGGTCCGATAAGATTCTTTTTTTAATATGATGAGTTACCGATAATTTTGAAAAACTAATAAAATGATAATTTAGAAAAAACAGAAATAAAAAGCACAAAGAATATACGTTATCGACTTTTAAGGCCGCAGCACAAACTTTTGTGTTGGATAAGATGGGATACATGCACGTACATGTTTTCCCTCTTCCTCCTTCCCTCTCTTTCTCTCTCTCCTACTTGTAGAGATGTCTTCGTACCATAGCCGAGTTAAAAAAAATAGGATAATTTCATGACCGTGAATTCCAACGAGATTCTCATAAATCCATACCGAATAACAATAAATTATCTTTTACACTAATTGTATCACGTATCACGTTTTACGCACACTTAATTGATTTACAAATCTGGACACACGTTTGTTTCACTTCAACCACCAAACCATTGACAAGATACTAAGGGGATCCTAAAGCGAAGCTCGAACTCCGACAAAATCACTAGATGTCGCTGTTTTTCCAGTGCATCGACATGTCGACAGGGATGGGAAGTAATTCGCTACTTGTAACAAAGTTATAGTTAGAGTTACTTTTTTTCAGTAATTGTAACTTAACTTCGTTACTTTCTTTCCATCTGTAATTATAACTTAACTTAGTTACATCTTTTAAGTAACTAGTAACTAATTTAATAGTTACTTTCATAGTTATTTTATATATTTTAAACTTATTTGTCAATTTAGTGTGCGGTAGTGTCTACTTGGCGCTACAAATGCTTCGAAACATTTGATTAATCAGAAGAAAGAAATTTAATTAAAGCGTTCAATGAACTCTTATACCTGTTTGGTTTATATTTTTGGATCTAATAGAATCCGCCAATCAAATGCAAGAGCGCTCAGTGAACGGTTGTAATACTAAATGCACCTGATCACTGAGTCGTTGTTTTCTGAATGCAATCACGTGACCCATAGGGTAAGATCGCCCAAAAGTGCACTTTTTCTTTGAGACTATATAACTTGTACAAGGATCCGAGTTCGGACAGTAAAATGGTGCTTAGATTATTCCTTGCACTTTAAACTAAAAGTTTGTCAAGTATCAATGTAATACTATGATCCGTTTTTACAGGAGATTAATTCTAATAAGAACAGAAAAATGCGAACTCTTGAGCAAGTGTCTTCCCAAGAGTTCGCATTAATTCGCACTACGAAAAAATGTCGTTTATTTTTAGAAAAATAATGTAAATTTAAGTAAAAATAGCATCAATTTTTATTAAAAATACTGTAGATGTTTATAAATGACCTGAATGTATTGTTATTACATACAAAGTTCACATGTGTAAGTTTTCGACCGATGATCGATCCCGGCGCAATCGATATGGGCCTAAAGCTAGCAGCTCTGGCATTGGATCCAATTTTCACCTGATTTGGAATTTGAATATAAACCATTACAAAATATGCTGTATCATCATCGCTTTCAAGTGCGTACTTTTGAGCGATTGTGTCACTTTTTACTTTTAATATAACTGTATAAAAATTATTGCAGATATTAAGTGAATATATCACTAAATACGAAGCAGAGACATGCATGAACACAATATAAATATTATAGTAGATTCCTA